ACTCTCTGAATCTAATAATAATAGTAATCGTACGTTTAACGCGAGCTGTTTTACGTGGGCTCTGATCAATGTCTTGGGGAATAGAAACGATTTCAGCGGTGCGATGACGATACGGTAACAAATGTGTGGCCATAAATCGCTCGCATTAAGCTACCCGCTATACACCAAACCGATGAAATTTTCAAGAAGCGATGCTAGCCGGTGGATCATTGAGAAGCCAGAAAAACCTCAGAGGACAGAATGCAATCCGACGAGCCATACGGCGGCTGATTTCGTTAAGGTAGACAGGGTTTCTGTGTACAAGTGGAATCACTGTGGGCGACAATCGAACGGACAATCATATATATGCTATGGTGTATTTCAAGGGTAAAACGACGGATCGTCTAAAATAATCCCTATGTTATGATATTCCATAATTTCCGATCTGGTTCAATTTGCATTTGCCGCGGTTGTTATTGGCCTTTTGCGAAAACGCCGAAACGATCCTGAACGTGATGAAATAGCCACAGTCTTTTACGTCCTCACAGGTACGAACCTCACTTGAAGCTCTAGCAATTTAGCCTTATCTGCATACGCACTGTGTAGGTAACCCTGTGTTACCCACAGACACACATTTATATGTATATATAATATATTATATTATTAAATATATTATATCTAATATAACTGCAGCAGCTATACATATATATATATATAGCTGCTGCAGTTATTGTCTCCGTTACAACGGGCATCGCAATCACACGTCTAGTAATCCGGTGCAGTTCAACCAGTTCGGTTATCTTCATTGTTCCGAGACTATTTCCAGAGGCAGTATTGTGCACTGCTTCTGGAAGACCTTCTTGGTCCACAGAAATCGATTCGGTGGAATTTAAACAATTGCATTTTGAATTTACCGATTCGCTACCTTCATCCAGATCATTTCCTGAGTTACTGAGTGGAATTTACCCTCGACATCGATCTGAACACAGGCTTGATCGAAATGAAGAATTTCTTTTGCCGCTGGGGGTGCTCTATCGTTGATCATGACTAGACGCGGCCTGTTACTGCAACGACGGCAACTGACACCCTGATATTCGTCCTCGATACTCGCATAGTAGAAACGCACGTTTTATTTGTATATGTTGCCTATATTGCGTAACAATGCCTAAAACCGCGAGTTTTAGACATTGTTATGCACTATTGGCCATACGACACAATATATATCGATCCATACTTCCGGAAGATAGACTCTCTTCACGACATTCCATCACTGAATACTCTCTGTTAATATTAAGTACGGGATTATGCTTTGAATAAAACTGTCACAGTACCATTAAAACGTTAGTAGTGGCAGTCGGCTGGAAAGGAAGTATCTCGTTGTTACGGCTCGACTCACTTATTTGGAAATGTTTTTTTTTTTTTTTTATTTTTTTACAGATGCTGAAGATATCTAAGCACCGAATTTGAGTTATTGCCGAAAACGCAACTAACTTATACTAAAAAGGTCTTGTACCAGAAACAATTTTTGTGGTCGAACATAAACATAAGGATGATCTCGTTATCGAAACAGTTACAAGGTCGTTTAGATGACGATAGACAATTCGAATATCACGCTTGTACTGCTGTGACTAATGAGGTCCCGCGCTTTAACTAGTGAATGCTAGATAATAGATAAAATCTAAGAGGAAGCGCACCCACAACATGTCGTCGAAAATGAAAAACTATTCAGCTTTCACTTCTTATCAAAGCCATTTCTAGTTCGGGTAAACGGCCAACACCCATCACTAGCCAATGAGTTAATTAGCTCGTTGTGAAAGCCCCAAGACATAGAATGAAGGCAAGAGGTGGCAACCGAGCCACATGCTTCACCCGGGAACCAAACCCGTTAGAAATGGGGACTGGTTCATGACACTAGCCTGCTATTCTCAGTGTTGTTCGTTGGTCCAGAGTTGGTTGAATACGATTATGGCTGACACCAGCTCGACATCCATAAGGAGGCAGTCGACCGCCAACTGACCGGATACTTCGCCTACACTTTCTGTGAACCGGCTCCTTCAGTCGTCCCCAATATTTGAGACCGCTCGGCGCTAGAATTAGTGTCCAACAGCAGGAAAAGCATCGGAACTTTTGTTGGAACGAATTTAAGCTCAAAGAAGAAAACGATGGGGATTAGCAAGGAACGAAGTCCACCAGGCAGACTCGTCTATCATCTATAGCTTCTGAGGAAGTAATGTTCCTTGAAAGGAAGAAAGAGCCTATTTTTTGCGTTCTCTTCTGCCGATTGAAGGAGAGCTATGTTATTAACCACGCGATGAGGCAGATTCACCACGCGACTCAATCAGTAAACCTCATCCGAACTTTTGGCGCCGCAAACTCCTTAGAGGCAGCCAGCTAACAGAAGCAAGAAGCGAGAATAGCAGAGCTCGTCGTCAAGCTTGTCCAGCAGTTGAGCCCTAAAAGGCATGCACCTGATAGAAATAACAGTAGTGCTGGCTAGAAGAAGCTTCTGTGTTTTATAGACAATATCGCAAGGCTACATCGATGTGAGGTAGCTTACTACCGCCAGCTGCACGAAACAGGCAGCTCTCGTAGCTAGCGCCACTTGATAGTATCAGCCATCGAAGACATTCAGAAGAGAGAGGATACAAGTGCGAATTCTCGCGAGCAAAATTACAAATATGTTTTATCTAGTGGGGCGTGGCCACTTTACAAACTATTAGAATTCAAGAGAATTTTTTTTTGTCTATTTAAAAATTAGTTTTAAAATTGTCTCAATGAAAAATCTAGAAATAACCAGTTCTTACCTAGATAATGATGTATATAGTTACACCCATAGATTCAGTGTTCAAAGTCTATCTTTGTCAATTCAAGTCGAAGCCTGTCCTTCCAAATATAGGTTTTCCAGACACCTTATTTACAGTAGTCTAGTAAGTTATAAAGAACGAGCATAGCAAACTATATTCCACAAGTTACATTCACTATTGCCCAACTACGGCCTTCAGCATCGACTCGTCTAAATGAGAGAAAGCTTTCGTCGCCTAAAGTAAACCGCCGTTACAGCCATTACCTCACACAAACGAATAAAAATAGACTATTAAAGATTGTGGGCGTGAAAACTGACAATTACTCAGATTAATCAATCAGCGGCCGCCGTAAGTAGAGATACTGATTCGATTTAGAATCTACGAATCTAAGTACAAAAAATTCTTAAATCTTTTGTCCTGTTAAATTAGGCCACTAGCTGTTCCTTCGGCAGCATCAATTCTAGACTATTGTGGAAGCTAATTTTATATTGATTGAGTGGACGGACAATCAAATGTGGTGCAGGCAATGGTAGTATTAGGCGTAAACACTTTGCACAGGTATCGGGCGATTGGGGACGAACTATTGTCGGCTCAGGCACCCTAAGCAGACCACGTTCATGCTAGTAATTAGAGTACGTCTATTAAGCGGATCACTTCGGACGTAAACAACTCAATGTAGCCATTTAATGCTGCCACGTAGAAAAACAGATTGTGACAGATCGAAACTGCACCGATACACTATAAAACGTAAGGCTGTAAGGTTCATTGGGAGTGGGCCTGTTGTTAACATCAAACGCTTTGTGTTGACGACTACAACTGCCGCTGCCCCATATATCAATTAACTTGTCCTTCCTACAAGCGCTACGTTTACTCCTGGCATCGTGCGTATATCTGACACTTGATTTTAAGTGTGATTCGAACTTCATTGGTGTTAAAACACTGAGAGAGGAGACACATTTGCTAGCGGGCGGTAGGACATGCACAGGACGTTATTGATCCAGATCCAGTTTCTCGGGACGGGTAGAATCAACCGTCCAGCCTCAGCTCCCATTGTGTCATATCTAAACGGAAATCCATTGGACTGGTTCACAAAATTCGTTTAGTCGTTCAAAGCATATAACGTAATGCCATTGTGTAACAATCGAGCCGAATATCTATTCCAAATGGGCCGGCATAGTAGGCTTTAGTAGAGTTTAATGGAAATTTAAAAGGCCAGCGTAAGAAAAGAACGAGTTCACGGTTGGAAAAACGTAGGCTCACACTTCAGGGAACATTTGTCTCAGTCGAACCTATTAGTTTATTAGTGAGTTTGTTTATCGTGAATTAATCTGTTACCCATCTACTAGCTTTTTGCCCCTCCCCGTTAGATTAGCTACTTTCAGATTTAGTCAAAGAAGACATATATATCTTACCATAGCATAACTTACCAATGATCTTCTAAACTCAAAATGGTTCTTTCTTAATAACGACATTTACTCTGCCATTGACTAGCTGCTGCTTATTCATACGCGGTAGGTGGCGTGCAGAGTCTAACATGGTGCGCGTGGCTGCCCTCCATATCCTACCGTTCCGTTGACTTTTGCCGTATTCAGTCACAGTTTGGCCTGCCTTGCATTCTATCGGCTTAGACGTTTATTTAGAATGACTCTTGATTGGACAAACCTATTTGTTTGTTAGATGAGACCTGTTATATGTACAGCAGAGGCATCATCTTCTCTTGTCGATGTTTCTGCCTACCGCTGCACATAACATTTACGTAAGGAGCAGTAATATTGTAACTGAACATGGATAACATCAAACCTAAGTGTGACGAGAAGTGTAAAAGTTTATTTTTATTATTTTCAATACTTTACAGTAGGCATCACATACATACGGTTATCTACTCCGCCCTGAAGCCGTTACACGGCAGAGAAAACTGACAATACTAAGACTAAGGTCCCTATTCCGTATGTATTAGGAATCTCATATTCAGCTCAGCGTGCCAGATTCCGTTACAAACACCGACCACAGACGTACGCTTGCGTAGATAAGCAATGATTATAGAATTGCCCTATTTAACGTGTAATACCTGATCGTTTATGCTAATGACCTTAAACAATCATACAGTTACACGAAACAAACAAATGAATGTATCCATCGTTCATCAACAAAGCCTAGTTTCCTTTTCAGATAATAGCAGAACAATATGACGCTCGTTTTCTGTGATTTGGTTCGCAGGTAGCTAATCTGTTGCGCCTGTTTCGTATTCCACAAATTTCGTTCTTTTCGACGAGTCCTGAACTATCAAATAAGCAGCGGTTCGAGTATTTCTTACGAACAGTGCCATCGGACCGTGACCAGGCAGCCGCAATGGTTGAGATAGTGAAACTATTACGATGGACCTACGTCTCAATCGTTTACGAAGAGTCCAATTATGGCATTCAGGCCTTCGCTGGTGAGTATCATATAAATGAATTGGGAAATCGTTCGGGTAAAATAGACTGATCTATTTACGTTTCTATTATCAGAGAAAAAGGAGTGCACGTTTCAGCAAGCAAAGCAAAACCAGTATATTAGCTAACTTATTTAATATTAAAAAAAAAAAAAAAAATATATATATATATATATATATATATATATATATATATATCATAAACTTATAGGGTTTTTATAAGAGCAGAATCCTGAATATCAGTTCAAAGCTACACACAAACGGGAAAACCCGCAATCATATACCAGCAATGTTACTCAGCTGACTTCCCAGCTATCGCCTTCACCGACGGGTGCATCATTGACTCTACTTGGTCCTTGATTGATCTACAAACAAATTTCTCATGTTGCTTAACGCGTCCGGCTATCCTAAATATCTGGTATGATCCATTAAGCTTTATAAGTTTTTGAGTAGGCTCAAATACTTAGGTCTAGCTAAAACCATCAAAGACGCGCTGAATCCCTACAACTTAGACATGCATTTGTTTCAGCTGTTTCGAGCGTGTTACTTCCTTGCCTATGGTTAAATTTCACTATTGCTTTTTGTAAAAACTCATACAAAGACGTGATATATTTACAGGCGCAGATGAGCGGCGCGCCATTTTTCCATTACAAAAGGTATAACAATGGGCTTAAAATCGTGAAGTATAGCATTGTTGTGTATTCAGACAGACTTCGCAAAATCTGTGCCGAACATTTCAGAATTAACAGCTCTTAGCAAGACGGACAGCCACTAATTGCAGATTTCACTTCTTACAGCACGCATCTGTTTCATATCTTTTTCCCAGGTTATACCTGTCCGCTTACGAAGCGTGCTGGTAGTTTTTCTTGGCCTTATTTGACAGCTAGAAATGACTTTTGCAACAAGAAGATACTGTACAGCTCATAGTTTACTAGTTTTGCATTAGCTACGTTTAGAGTTCCATAATTATATTCAGCGGTACAAATCGACCGCGTAATTTTATGTAATTTGTAAACAACTCTCAGTTTGAATGTGGGAGAGTTTCGGCAATTGAAAGCACTCGAAATGTAATTCTCGAAATTTTCATAGTGGGTCATATTAGCTAAAGCGATTGTTATCTGCAAACCCAGCCTCCCTATTACATATAATAAATCACCGTAAGGATCGCGCTCAAATCATCTAGCAAATAGTATATGACAAACCCTCGAGTTCTCCATCAGGCAACGACATTACTATAGAATAAAAACTTTTCGGATGACCCTGAATTTCGCGAGTGATCGGCAGTTAACGTTAAAGTTCGAAGCTTCACGAACGATTGCGACTGGCCATCGACTGTCAGCACCTACTAGCAGATTCTCCAACAGAAACCATTCAATAGTCCGATTACACATTTACATGTAAATAGTAGATTATTTACGTAAATACGTGCCCCTCTGCGTTTCTCATTAAAAAGTAGTGGGGAAAATTTTGTGATCGAGGCGCGCCCTTCGCAATTTACCCGTCCTCAGCATTGCTTACCCTGCTACACATAATTTGATAGAGGTTACAATTCAGTACATTGTGGTGTTCTCTAACTCTGTCCGTTATACCTTTTCATATTGTATGTAGCTTTGCGACAGTCCTACAAGTCAGCATCCGGGTTGACCGTTGATGAACACAAGTTTTCTGCCTACTTACTAAATACTTCAAAGTGAGAAAGTGGCCAGAGCAGACAGGAGAAGTGCGGGCATGGTCTAGAAGCAGATGCGTATCACTCTAAGTGCGCTACTATAGTAACGATAACTAACAAGTATGCAGCCACGATAATTCAAATCTGAACGGGGACAATAATTATGATCAGATATATATCAGAGTCAGGAATATGAAGAATAATAAAGAACTGAGAAGAATCAACTGTTGCTGTTAAAAGACAATAGATCTCCGTATGTGCGTTTGACAGGTCTGCTGAAGAAACTCCACTCGGCTTTCACTTCATTCACTCAGGCAATTTCCAACAATAAGATATCGCTTATTTCGTTAAAGACATAATTCTACTCTTCAACTTTTTCCGGTAAAAAAATAAACTATTTAAACGGCTTTATGCTTTCCATTTGGGCTCGTCCCGGTGTCGCTAACGGGACACTAGGTCTTCGACTACTGCCCCACCTCTTTCCTTTGATAGGTCGATTCGGCCAAGTAGACGACGATAAGTTACAGGCAGTCAAACGTTGCATGCTGCGGAGAATCTACTCTAAAGGAAAAATGGCTCATTGCTTGGGATATCTTTTTATATGTGTTAATGAAGATGAAAACATATTCCAGAACTTTATGTAAAAGTTACCGTGTTACGGATAGGCCACCACCGACACGCGCATCGTTCTTTGTAGTTGAAAACTGTGAGTTAATAATATTCAATTTTAATATACTTTGTTAATTCTTATAAGAAGAAAAATAAATTCGCACACGTTAAACATCGATTTCTTGTCGACAAAATCTATCTGACATTTCTCATTGTGGCTCAAACGTACTCCTATATAGGTACGCCTTGTTCATAATCTTGCCCGTGTATAGAAGATCATGTATTTTTAGTAGTATCATGTAGTATTTTTTTTATTTACTTTATTATTACTTATTTCATATTTATTTACTAATTAGTTTGTATCGCGTGCTTATTCGACAACGCGTGTGCCACGCTTTTTATAGCACGCCTAATTACAATTCAACAGCGATACAAACTGAAGCACGCCGAATCGAAGCCTATTTGAAAAACCGAAAAACAGGCCGACGGATAACAGAAAGCTGCTGGTTTAACATTTAGCCAATCTAACTCTCCAGAAACACGACAGTCCTATTCAGGCATCCTCTCTCTTGACCCCTCCTGTCGCACAATCGTGGCTTCTCTCTTTATTCTTGCTGGAGCCTATTACTATTATTATTAGTTTTTTGAGAGCTGGATCCTAAGCGACTGTAGTGCTCTTCCTTTTCTCCGTCACCAACGACCAAGAAGAGCTTCAGCAGCAAGGGAAATAATGCCGAAGAGGAGATTACGTGAAATTCAAGAGGTCGTTTCTATGTCTGTTCTTCCACACCCCGCTATACCTCTGTGCGCATCCTCGTAGGTAAGCTGAGGGAACGAACACGGCGATGGACTGAAGCTCGTGGTAGTAGGCTTTGCGTTCTGGATACAACAGGCGAATCTGGCTTACGCCGTAACAGATTCCCTTTACGGGAGAGCGAGAATCCGCGTCTAGAGAAATGCCGCAAATGTGGCGACGTATATGTGAAACCTAAAGGGAATCGTATTCAGAATGTTAAACCGCGCTAAATTGCTAATTGTTGTTTCTTTTCTATTTGTTTTACTGCAATTTAGAAGCGGTACCATTATCTTCAAATTAGTATTAGAGGATGTATGAATGCACGCGGTAACTCATTAGTAAATGTTATCTAATTAGCCAGTACCTGTATAATCCATAATCCAAGCTACTCATAACGGAAGCTTACCTCGAAACATTGAAAAGGTTCTGCTAATTAATGGACACGTTTGTAGTAATCGTACAGTCCTGATAAGCATAAGCATCAGCAACAACCTTGCTTTCAAATCTCTATTTCTATAAGTTTTTGGTGAAAACCATTTACTGGCTGACGCAATGGAATCGACGTTCTACCTCTATTACTACAATATGTCTCAATAAATAATATGTTTTTATTTATTTACCTACTAGCTATTAAAATTCTATATACCTGTTTGTCCGAGTTAAAACGAATCCTTCAAGTGGTCGGATTGGGATGAGCTTTTTGAGTCGTTAAAGAGTAAAGGCCTGCCGGCTTCACCCTATGCCTGTTCTTCTATTAGACATATTATTTTAGTCATGTAGACATAAGGGACTAATTATGTTTATAGCAGGGTCCATACAGTAATAGCTTCTTCTAAAATATAGCAAGAACGTAACTTGTCACACAAGACACATTCGTTCATGCAACACACTGACTGATCTTCGTGGCTGTCTACTAGTGTTTGTAAACGCTGATGCGGCGTTGTTTTTCAGCATGGAAAATCGGAATGAAGCTGCTGCCGGCTTGCCAACTTGTCAGTCAAATTAACCTTACACTCTATGGGAAATACACACTTTTGTCTAAAGAGAAAAACTAGTGGCCAATCGGCACCACGGAAAATCTTCCTAGAATAAAACTTTACCGATTCAGAAAAAATCAGCCCGGTTCAGGCACTCAAGGGGCCCGACAAATAGGCAGGTATCAATTATTAGTAGTTAATAGATTCAGCCTGAAAAAACTACGCGTAAGGTAGAGCCGATCGGCCAGATACCTTTTGTGTAGATACCAGAGGTGGCCAGATACCAGAGCGTAAATGGCAGGAAGTTCTTTCCTATTTTTCACGTCTGAAAACAATACAGCACAGGTAAGATGATGTATTACATTGAAATATACGCTGATTCAATCCATAATCGTCCCACATTTCTGAACCGCATTTCAAATATTGTTCAGCATACTCTGACGATGCTCAGCCATGTCAAAACTTCCCCTTCCCTCTGACAATGACAAAAAAAATCGCAGATCAGACACGTATTGAATCGCAGCCCACACGTACTGCTTTAGTGTATTACTAAATATGGTCCCCGTTACAGAAATATTTTGCTCGGTAAATCCACGCGAGAAATTCTACCTCGTATCTTTACTTAGTATTCACTCATCACGACATTTTGTATTGCAAATGGGCCAGTTACTACAGTTGTCACCATTTTATTACGTAATAAGCTGAGTACAAATATAAACACATCTACCTAATTCCTCTGTTCCAGTGCTTGAAAGCCTTCTCGCACAAGAAGGAATCTGCATCGCCGCCAAGGAAAAGCTCACTAAGGATTCCGGACAAGGTCTGTAACTCTCTATCTAACACTGATATGCACCTATCGTGAGCACGTAGCGGTCTGATACTGTTATCCCCCCATGTATTACATATACGTACAAATGAAATCATATATATGTATATGATATATGTAATACATTCACCATCAATAGGAGCAAGAATGATCAAATTGCCTGTCGGCTTTACCACGACATGTAAGGGTCTATCGATTGGTGGTCAAAGCGTTCTGGACGCCAGAGTTCAACTTATAAAAAGTACTCATATAAAATGGGCAGATTCACTCGCTTGACAGGTGCATTAGATCTGGTCCTAAAATCATTGTTCAAAAAGTAACATCGGTAATACGTATTGTTATTAAAGTGCGTCGCAAATTATATAGCAGCAAAATGAACAGAAAAGAATAATAAGAAAATTAATTCCTCTATTCGTACATCACTAAATCCATCTTCGAACTTCGGGTTTCATTTGCTTGCTCGGTTTAAGAATAAACTGGTAGACCGGCTTGAAAAAGCTATTTACAGAAACATTCAAATATTATGGTGCTTTCTCACTGTCTCTCACTAATCTTTGACGTTCGAAGATGCCGAGCGCTTTATCTATTTATAATAGCAATTAAATGCTTTTATTCACAGTCGACGTCTTAGTCGGTCTGTACGAAAAATGGCGGTGCCGACCAAGTAAATAGAGCTAAACTGGTACCTGCGTATCGCAGGCTCGGGGACGTGACACCTCATCGAAGGTATGCGAAGCGATCGAAGATGTCGTGGAAAACTAAGAAAACGAATGGTAGCTTTGACGTCACCGACAATCAATGAAGGGTACCGACCGATGACGCGTAGCTTTTAACTTCCAAACCTCGTTTGATCTACCGAAAATGAACGAGACGATGAGAAGAGGGGCAGGGAAGGATTCCTAACCGTAGTCCTACTCTGTTGTTTTCGCTCAGCTGGACTCGGACGTATATGAATTTGAACTTGCATCGTCTTCGGCTGTCGCCTGTTAAGTGTGCTACCTTCCCCTTGCCTTGATTACGGTGTCATCGTTTCAGAGTCAAATCAATAGCTGTCCTTCTAAACCTGTCCCTTTCTCAACGTTTGCCTCAGCGTTTTTCAAAAAAATGAGGGCTGCTTTTTTAAAAAAACGCGTCTTCTTCTTCCGTTGCTTCTCCAATAGTTTCGTCGCTGTTCCTTCTCTTTGTACTCTAGTGAATATCTAGTTGTTATCGCCAAAGCTCTGTTGGAGGCCCGTTCGCCCGCAAGCCAGCCCTCGCCAACGATAAATTCCATCAAATTCATTTTGGCTCTTGCTTGCTAGTGCTAAGCCCAGAAATTTCTTACCTTTCATAGACGATTTGCAGACCAAGTGAAACTAGCACTCGTGATTAACATACAATTACCAGAAGGAGCTTATTTGCAAACAACCAGTAAGTTCCCTTTATTTTCGCCTTGTACGCAGATATACGTACGATGGCCTAACTCAAAAGGAAAGCTGGATGGACACGTGGAGCATAACGCAAGGTGATAACCGCGCTTTTTCGCTCTCTCAAATATGAGTTCATTTAGTTTAAAAAAACAACCATTGTTACTATGCCACCATGATGGCTATTGCTGTTTCTGCAGTCGAAAGCTTGTTTTCAGTTTTCTCCGTAAACATAATCAGACCTTTAAAAATAGTGCGGGTCAATAAGTGTTTTGGGGAGAAATCGACGGCAGGCGGTCTTTTCCAGGAGATGAGTTTTTATAGTGGTTTAAACTGGCGGTCCGTTCTTTGTCGGAACGTGAAAAGTGTGTTTCGCGAGTGAGCCTGCGTTTTTTTGCTAAAAAGGCTCGATAATGAGCACTGGGAAAAGTGTAGTTAGGAGTAAGGAGAGAGTAGGCTGCGTTGCATAATTGAAGATTCGAAGTAAGAGGCGCTCGTATAAACATTGATTGATTAGGTTGCCTTCGGAGCTAGGTGGTTTCCCCTCGGAACAAGCAGCTGTCCGCAGGCCATGCGCCACTTAGTTGTGCACCAAGAAGATGAAAAAAGGCCATACAACGTAGGGTAAACGATCGGGCCTTTTGATACTAGAGCTTAAACATGTATAGCAGCGTTCATGATTGTTTACGAGCAAAGTCAAAACAATAACGAGTTAGGATATTTTCAATATATTTTTGGATTCTCGTATTTATTGAGGTTTTCTTCAATTATATTACAGATTTAAAAATCTTAGAGTAAATAAAATTTATATAACTTGTCATGGCAAGTACGATTAAGACCCGTACTGCATGCCTGTATTATTAACGACTATAATTGGCGATAGCATCTGACTACAGCGAACCTTTTTTATAGGTAAACATTTTAAAGGTATTATAAAATTTACTTATATTATTATGATGCATATGTCTAACTCTGTTTTGGACCTGGCCTGCAACTGGAGGCTACATTATATATCAGGCAATTTGAATTTATACCAAATTACCTAATATTGCTTTAGATATGAACATGGTTTTTATAGGACGGGTTAATGGAAGTATATAATTTACTCTATGAAAACTGATCGATTCACACCATCAGGTAATGCTGGGGCATATGATCAAATCGTCGAGCGCCTTCGCGCTAAATCTCGTGCACGCGGAGTGATCGTGTTTGGCTCGGATCAGGAGGTGGCGCATTTGATGAAGGCAGTCGCTAGAGGTAATGCGACCGGTATGTTCTCGTGGATTGGATCAGACGGCTGGAGCGCCCGTTCACTCGTCTCCGACGGCCATGAAGCGCAGGTTGAGGGTACTATCTCGGTACAGCCAATGGCGCACCCTATACCAGACTTCGAGAGCTACTTTCTTAACCTCACGGCTCAGGGAAATAAGCGTAACCCTTGGTTTATTGAATATTGGGAGTACACGTTTAGGTAAGTACCAATGGTCGTTGAAACATGAACCTCAAAAGCATCAGGAAATAATTCTAGTGAGCTGCGTTAGAACAGTTCAATAGAATATTGCGAAAAGAATTGGAAAAGGAAGTCATAATCATAATTGTGTTTTATGCACGTGATCTATATTTAAACTATTTAAATAATGGCAAAACGTACCTCTGCATACACTCTGCCACGTCGCTCGAACGAGAGCTGCGTCGCTGGTGAACAAAAATTTCGCTTTATACTCTTATATTGTATACTTGCCGTTTTTTTCCTGTCCGTATAGATGTCGTTGGCCCAACGGGACTGTAACGCCTTACAACCAGAAATATACTTCAACATGCACAGGACGAGAGAAATTATTGGATCCATCCGCGACTGGGGGTTTTGAACTCGAACGGCAGTTGCAGTTCGTATCGGATGCCGTTTTGGCTTTTGCCTATGCTATACGGGACATGCACGAGGAGCTCTGTGGAGGAAGTCAGGGCTTGTGTCACAAGATGAAGCCCATAGAGGGTTCTCAACTGCTCAGCTATCTCAAGCGGGTCCGCTTCAATGGTGGGTGCATATATTGATTTAGCTTCTATCTAGAATTAATTAAGAGGTTTTGTGGAAGGCTTAGACAGATAAAAACATCAGGCTTAAATTCTACGCAATTCAAATATAATAACGCGCATCTGCAGAGCGAATGCTCTTCACCGTTAAGTTAAGGACGGCCACAATGCGCCGCGTATAATGCAGCCCACATAGCAGCATTACTGACAAACGAGACTAGATATCGCCCATACAAAAATGTGAATGCACCTCGGTTGTTTTTTAGGTATTTTCTAATGTTAAAGGTCGCGCACGGCATCATCTGGGTTAAAAAAAAGGCAATTTTTATTTAATGGCAATTTTTGGCAAAGGGGAAACGACTGGGGTTTCAACAAATGTACGCGGTTCTAATTCGTCTGGTCCATTACGGAAGCGTTACTTACTAACCATATGCTCTTGTTATTTTTTCCTCAATTGTTTCTCTGTCGCAAGAAATCATCGGTGCTCTCTTCGGAGTACGGGCATTGAAATTTTATAATTTCCACCATGAACTATAGTCGAAATAGTGTTTAATTTCCGCTATGAATTTCACTTCCAAAATTAACGACTGGGCTCCCTTTGCATAAATCGAAGTGTCGGCTGGTAGCATCCACTCAATTCGAACGACGGAAAAACCTAAGGTTCAAATAGGGCAACACAGGAATTACGTGCGACTTGCACAAGTAAGTAATAGACATCTAAGTGCGTCAAAGTTGATCAGTGTACACTAATTGCATACAAATTATTCCAACAACTTCGACTAGGTTTTAGGTGTGATTATGAAGCTATAAGTGAAATTATCCAGTGGTTACAAATCCCTCTGATTATCTATTAGTTCGATTCAGCCGCGGGTGTTTAGATAGTCATTATCCGTGCACGATTGCAAACGAGGCAGCCTTAACAAGGTATGACTACTGTTGATTCAAATAAGAGAAATATAATTTATAGTTTTTGGGCTTCTTCGTTGCGGAGAGTTACACCAAGGACATCGCAACTTACTCTATCGATGTCCGTTTCTTACTATCAATAGGCTTTCTATTACTATCGGTATTCATCTTCTATCGTGGTGAACCCCAAAGGCGTTTCAAAAAATGTGTCCTTGCCTTTTACACATGCTCAGAAAGCTTATAAGGCCAGAATGATATATCATCAAACGAACGATCATGTTACTCTAGCTCAATAGTTGTAGTAATAGAGATAATAATAATAATAATAACAGTTGTAGCCTGTCTGTCGTACATCCCTTGATGGACCCTCGAGTTAGCGTGGACACACGTTTGATTTTTAGGGTAGGTCTTTTCTTCAATAGACCCAATACATTCTTCCCTAATGTTTTTACTATATTCGTTCATTCATCCAGCCGCGGGTCTGATCCTGACGGTGGCTTGTTGCGATGTAGATACTAGACCAAATATTCTATCAATATGAAACGCTTTTTTAAGAACCGGCCTAGGATAGATTTGGTGGGCCTACCGCGTGTGGCGCAGTAGCAACAGCGAAGTACACTGCGTATCGCATAGCCTAATCCCACACAGCCATACGCAGTAGAGCTATCTGAAAAGAGCCTAAAATTCTCTCTTGTTTGTGAATACGTACAAGTTAGATATGGAAAAAAGAAAGATAGGCAATCGAAAGAAATGAATCCCTTTGGTAGGGAAACGTGCAGTTGTAACTGAATATTGTCGTCCACATTTTGGCTTGCTAATGGTATATATATATATATATGTTGGCCCTATTATGTGAATATTGATAAACTTTCTTATAGAAATCGGGTAATCAAGGGTCGCAGAGCGGCCTTGGTTGTCGCGCTGTGTATCACGAAACTGTAGTGCTATTTTTGATTTCTTCTTTGTTATTTTGCGCTATCTGGTGTCCCTAACTGTGCCCTGCAGTAGAAGTGTCCTGAAAGAAATATATGTTTATAACAATGTAAACCATATATGTGTTTATGATTACTTTTATAAAGCTACTCAGATCCGTGATTATATTTGTACAAAACAGGTGAATCTGGCCAACTTTAAAATAGAATAGCTTTTGAATGACGCGCCGTTAGCAGACGAAATTTGGTTGAATACTACTCTAGTTTTTTAAACAGTTGATACTAGAAACCGGCTGAGTTTACTCAAGGAGAAAGGAGTCCAGAAAAAAAACATCTTTTTAGGCACTAAAATCAACGTTCAGTGGTTTCATTTGTCAAGGGCAACAGCGCTGCAGAAATTCATCGAAGTTTAGTGCAGACATTGGGCAAAGAGTTTTAAGCAAAAGCACAGTATGTAAACAATGCAAACGTTTCAAAAACAGAGCTTAGAATGTTAAACATCAGTAAGAAAGTTACCAATTGTCGGGACCCGAAAAACAAGAACGCATTGCCGCGCTCGAAAAAGCTTTTTCCGAAAACAGAGCTTGAAATTTAGGGGCTCTGTCGGCTAGATTTGGCTAGATCATGTTGCGTGCTACAGAATTAGTATTCAAGTACTCAAAAAGACGGAACTAAATTAAAAAAAAATGAGTGCCCCGTAAGTTAGTCCTCCATTAAGTCGAGGCTAATTGGAAACGCATGCGGTGTATTTCATGTGCAACTAATTAACAGGAATTTACGGTCCCCAATGACGAGGTATTGTACAATGTCTACCGCCAGCTGAAGAAAAATCGGTAGAACGAATAGCGTGGCTTTGGAGAGAAGTCTAGTTTGGTGGCAGTGTCAAATAGCTTCGAACGCAAGGTGATAACAGTACTGGCCATGGGCATCAGGAAGTTCTGTGCTACTATGGAATACCCGCCGAAGATGAAGTCATTAATGCAGTTCGATGTCTCGAGTTTTTTTTTAAAAGATTTATGAATCGACAGGAATAACTAACTTTCGCGTCCAACTTACTTACACTCCCGATCTAAGTTCCTACGTCTATGGGGTTTTCCATGTCCTAAAAGTGGAACCAGTAGACAAGCATATCCCTCTATCGATTTATTTCGAGGAATCATATACGGAGAAATTACATATGAGGGTGTAAACTGCATTTATATGCCTGTCCAAAGGCTGCTAAAGTGCTGAGACAAGTGTGCAAAAATGAAAAAGAGTACTTGTAATATGTATTAAAAATAATATTTCAAGCACGATCAATCCAAAAACTATTCCGTTTCAAAGTCCGCTGAGAACACTGTTGAATTATGAATATTGATTATCTGCTTCCTTTTCGTAGACATGTCATAAATGTAAGTATGTGTATGAAATAAATATATCAACCAACAATTGTATACCATTGTATATTTGGATATTTTTTTTTTAATTTTTATTAGTGTTGCTCTCAGTGTGATTTTTTAGCGAATTGATTGTAGAACTAATGAATGTTTCAATAACGCCTTGCACCATATGGTTTGCATCTGTAAATCGGGATTAGTTTAGCGTAAAACCAGGGGCATCAGTTAGCGGTGTTTCTGTTTAAGTATTATGCGGGTTATAGTTCAATGGTTTGTTTACAGAGGTTGGTTTCTGTTCTATGCAACTTTTAGATGATGAAATTATTCAGTTATGATAAGTGTTCTAACGACCTTTTATTGCTTGGAAGCGAAATAGCTTCAAGCGGTAATTTACCATTAGAATAACGACCAAAAAAAGCATTCTTTGGTTTTTAAACTTGGGCAGTTGTTCCTCAACTTGAATATTTTGGTCAGTCGGCATAGAAAACCTCACTGTTGAGTACTCAACTGACCTCACGCTTTTCTCGTTGTAAACCTTTGCTGAGGAAGCTTGACGTTCTTTTTCAGCTACAGAGTTGCACTCTTGACGGAATTTGCCAATGGTGAATGTCCGCTGATACCCGAATGTTGTCTCATAACACGAGATGGCTTATTAGGCAAAAATAAAATATTGAAAGCCTCTCTCCTAAGTATGTAGTTATAAGAGGTATACCTATTGCGTAGGTGAGCTTCATATAATATGAATTAATGGCCGCTCTGCAAGCAATGTTTGTTAATAAAAGAGTTTGCCTGTCTCGACTACATTCACCCTCATATATATTGCTCAGGGTTCATATACACATCCGCCTGTGATAAAAATAGATTCCATGAGGTCTTCTTGGCACGGAACTGAAGCAAACTTTGTACAGTGGCCCTAACAGCGACATAAACAAATGCTACTTATTCAGCAACAATGGATTCGCTTATGGCCGTTTAACGCGCAGCATAAATTTGCAATAGAACTAACACCCGCAGTTTATTAGAGCTATTCCTTATAAATGTAAACTGATTTCCGCAAGAATCAATAGTTTTGGCATCATGATGTAATAATCTAAGTGCCGCCTTCTCAGTATTGACTTTGCTTCATTTCATTGGCTCCTAAATAATTTGTCCAGATCAAGCGATTATCTTTCCCTTTACGTATAGAAGCGACGACGTACGAATCCGACGACGGCGGACGAAAAACTTAATGGTGTAGCATCTAGTTCCCTATTTCGCAAAAGGCTGGAAGGTATTTAATGTTATTCATTTAAGCAAATATGGCGGCATATTAGCGATTCGCAAGGTATCATCCATACAGCAAAGGCCTAGACCTAAAGGCAGAACTCGTGGTAAGATAATAAATACATAGTTTTCCAGCTGCCCTTAATTATTCATAGCATGCTTGTTCTGAGACAGAAACTGATTTAGCAAACTGATTTAGTTCCAAGTAATTCGATAGAAAAATATCTGAGAAAAAAGAATCTCGGGGTGGACACGAGCTGACTTTGACTTATGTAATGATAAAATCTTCCTCATATTTTAATATTTTACTACATATATATTTGAATATTCTATTTTTCGTTCCTACCATTTGTCATCAAGATGTTGTCTCTTCAACTCCTCTGTGAGTTTTTAAATGCATTTTAAATATCCTAACAGGATGATTTTCTCTTAGCTTAGGCTCCCTTGTACAGCATATCCTACAAATATATTTAAAAATCATATAGCGCTCAACTGAAGCTTCAGCAACAACTTTTGTGAAAAACTCATGGTGATGCGTTCCTCTGCAAATGACCTACCCCCATTAGAGCTTTTAAATTCTGCCGCGTGGGTCCACGTTTACATACGTTCGTCATATTTGCTTTCTTCACGGGCACAATAACTGAAGGCCAACAAACTAAACTCGGCTGTTTAGAGAGCATTTCCATTTTGCCTTTCAACGAAGTTACCATCTTCAACACCTCTATTGAAACGCGAACGGTTCCATTCAGCCACACATCAGAGTACAATGTTTCCGCGCGTACTCCCATTCGCGCTGACGTCGGGGGGTGAGTCTTCATCTATTGTAAATGTAGCAATGCTCGCAACACGAAATAACTTCAGTTTGACTTTTTCCTTATGAGTCAGTTTATATCAACCAGATGTTGTCTTCTCCTCTGCCTTTGAGGTTATGGAGCAGACAGCTATTTTTGTTGAAGGCGGAGAACAGGCGCAATGGCCTTTAACAGAAACCACTGCTTGGAGTCCTCGCTGTGTGTGTAAACATATCCAGTAATAATTCAATTAATGCGGCCTACCGCAAAGCAGGCGTCGACACAAAAGTAGGTTGGGTGAATTAAAAATGTGGTCTTCTCACCTGTTTTGTGTTTCAGTCTTGTCATTTGTAGTACAAGCAAAGTACATCAATTAAACGCAAGCGCGATAGCTCGGTTTAATATATCCAAACAACTTTCAATATACATTTCTATAAAGTAATGTTTAAATACCCCTTGAACCATGCCTGGTATTACGCAAAAAAAAGTCCTGACTGCATATTCTGTCACCATGCCAACGAGAACATTACAATCCCAGAGAAGCGAATTTGCCACATAAATAAACGACCATTCCTAAGCTTCCTTTAACGTCGGGTATACTAACAATGGTAGCACACCTGTTGATATATCAGTTATTTACAACTATTAAGGAGCGGATGCGATTGCAGATATACGTTAGCAATTAGGTTGGAAAACTGGGTTGTTAATCTTTATTTTCGTTGCTGAGAGGTTATTGTTAGAGGTTTTAGGTGTATTTTTGAATAAAAGAAAAACGCTTATACAACATTATTGCAGCAATATCTAATGGAATCCCTTTTTCTGTTAATAAGGAAAAAGGCCTTTTAAAAAGATACCTTAACTCTAAAAAGGGAAAGAGATTAGGCCCTTTTTAGGTTTATTTCTGGTAAATTGCGTTGTTTTATAAAAGGTTTCATTCAGCAAATTAAATTCAATTAGCCTTATTTATTATAGCACTTATTTAGATTTAATCTAATTCTTTGGCGATGAAGATTCTTGTTAAGGCACTTACGGTGATAGTTTGTCCGCATTTCAGGTCTAACCAAGGACGAATTTCGTTTTACGGAAAGCACTTTGGACGGCCCGTCTCGTTACAATATTCTGCATTTTAAACAAACTAAGCCGGGCATTTTCGATTGGCTCAAGGTATGAAAAAGAAAACCTCACCATGGAAACATGCATATGTATATGCTGTTCCATCGAAGGCACATTATGGTCACGTAAAATTACCTCCAAATAGTAAAGTCAATAGTAGAGTAATCGCTATGGAAAGCAATCCTTCAGTGCTGTCTCAAAAGAATGATACAGACCATGCCATTATATACAGGAAAAAAATTTTTTGACACGGAAGTAGGGCAGAGCTAATGCAGTATTACAACACTCGATATGAATAAGGAAAACCATTTCTTACATATTATATCTTCTAGAACAATGATACATTGGAACAATAGGACCGAGAAGTCGTAACGTTAAGACGTCAACACAGTAGGAGACAGATGGAAACAAACGGACGAAATACGGATACATTTCGTTGCTTTCGAACAACAAAAATAACGACCTGCTGTGTAGATAATTTAGCAATGCCTGCCTTCACGGTCATAAATGTCAAATATGCATTCTCGTTATTGTCAGGTGGGCGAATATCGAGATGGCCGGCTTACGCTCAACAAGAACGAGTTAAAATTTCGAATAGAAACCAGCAGCGATATGAGTAACAAAAATCTCAATGGCACAAGCTCGTCACCGATATCCGGTACAACACTATACACATCAGCTGAAGATAGTTGGAGCAGAAATGGAGGATTCTTACCGCCCGTATCAGGTGCCTAAATACTTCACCTCACCGTCTAGATAGCGACCAGTGCGGCTTCGACCAACGAATCCTGCCAGGATTTTCCTTAGTTCATTATTAGAATCAAGCAGGTTCCCGTCGCGAATGATGCGATTGAGCTTACTGTGAAGATTCTAGGAAAAGATTCTAATTTGTTAAGACATTAGACTGCATTTCAACGCTCATGTTGTCTACACTTACATGAATTGCATGAAAATAGAAGTTCACTATAAATGACAAAACTTGCCCAATCGATGATGACTCACATAAAATGTTCTGGTAATATTTATAGACATTCAGCCATGCATTGACACGAGCACTGCATGGGGCTGAAGTTATTGCAAAAATGACGTGGCTTTCTACGTTATAAATAAGTAGCCAATGGCACAGATGTATATAATAGCAGAATTACTGATTGACTTTATCGCATCAACACCTAATGAGTCCTTTGCGACAATTCTTTGACTGTGTACTACACATGGCAAGGTAGAAAAATTTCTTGTATATTTTAGAGCGCCTGGAGGTGCAAGCTAAGGTACTTACAGTTAACACAGGCTTCCACATTGTACTAGTAAGCATTCAGGAACAAACTCAGAATTCAAGGATCGAACTGGGAATAGCTCATGTGAACTATATATTTCGCCCAAGTTATCTATCGTATATAGATACGGGCGCTGCCACCGCGATAGGATCTTCGGCATGAAGGTACCTGTCATTTTTTTCCGATTTGCACAAGCACGTCACGTTCTTTTAGATCTGGTGTTTTTTTTTAATAGGGGCAACTGAAACGGCGATGTCTCAAAGGGTTTACAATGTCTGCGAAATGCGGAAAATAGCTTGGAACGGTATGTTATAAATCAATTACGATGCCCACTGTGGCGCGTGTAGGTGCTGCTTTATCTTTGCCCTACAGTGATCATGTTTTTATGCCGTAGCAATAGTAATATATTTGGTTAATCAATAAATCGGCAAATCAACTAATGAGTAGGGCTAGCGTCGTTTTCAAGCCTCAAGATATTGGAGCTGTTACGAAGCATCACCATTTCTTTTTCCGTTTCCTTTTGCAGTTTGCTCCCTGGAGTGCGAGCGTGGCTCGGCGAAAAAATTCCTCGAGGGCGAAAAATGTTGTTGGCAGTGTATGCCGTGTCAAAAGTACGAGGTACTACGTAGTGAAACTGAATGTGTCGAGTGCGCTAAAGGAACACTGCCGGACCTGGACCATCAGGTCAGTTCGAATTAGCGTCCTGGATAAACAAATGCGTATAGAAGTATGCAGTAAGTGGAAAACAATATCAATGCGAGATCCCGGTTAGGGGCTTGACAGAGGACGTAACGTACACCAGAGAAGATAAACATAAAACAATTGCAAAAAAAATTAAATTGACAAACTTTGAACGCAACGCCGGAAGTTTCTTTGCTGCGAAAATAACAAATTACTGCTAACACTATTTACTCAAAAGGCGAACAAGGATGAGCGACTGCGCTGCGTTTAGATAAGTAGGAAAAAAAACGCGACTTTTTGTCAGACATACAACGCGGTGCTGTTTTATTAAGTAACGTCCCATTATCATGGGCATTGTTAACACGACGAGATTAAAGCTGTGGGCCAATAGTAGAGTAAATATTCAAAAAATAGGGCTGCCGTTTATTCGAATGCTTGATATAATAACAATTGATTTTTGACTGTTACACATCATTGATTACTGATACTCATGTATATAGCTATAATATTGACATTTCATTTAATTTAGTAATGCGCGCTCTCGCTGCTGATGTATCGGCGACAAATGTGACTCTCAATCCTATCCTTAGCGAAAAGCTTAAGCTGCATTTCAAAGTTACCCTGTAAAGCTAGCCGAGTTAAACCGGTTGTCGCTGGTCCACTGCGTACCGTCTAGCGACGTGTCACGTACAAGCTGTTCACAGGCACGATTAGAACGGCCTCGAGCGAGCCTGAAGCCCTAAAGCTGTCATGAGACTGATACAATCAACTGGTGCCCGTTCGAAACTCCAACAAACATGCCAGTAGAACGCCTATAACAGTCAATGTGTCGGAGAGCCATTCAAGCGTCTTGATGATAAAATAAGGGTCAGATGATTTTTATGGCTCATCTTATGATGAGCTCAAGCCAGTTTTATGTCAGTGCGACGTAGGCGTAGCTTGAACTCTTTGCTGGGCTTCGTCGAGCTTATTTCTAGAAATGCCCATATTAAATGGAAATTCTATGTAAATCATACACATAGGCTATTCGAAACGTTCCTCAACCTTGAGGATAGATTCCAAGTTAACCTTTTCCTGGAACAGAACTAGAGGAAAAATCTATACGAAGGCATCTTAAAACAAGCCTACGGGTGCTTGTACAGCGCTAGTAAAATTTCCGCCCTGATCTCGGAAAACTTTAATGTACATTGTTTTCTTTTTTATCAGAAGCATGTGCCACTTTCAAAGCATGAACATACCAAACGAAGAGCTTAAAACTCGCTCTTTGTTCTTTGGCTAATCCCCATATATATACATATATATTTCCATGGTGATTAGCCTCTGTGGCGTCTGATTAAAACATAGTGAATGTCGGCGTTTGAAACGGAATATGTTAATGCCAAAGCTTATTATGACACATTGGACACTTTTGCCAATAGGTTCTAATGGGTAATGTTCCAATAGACAGTATTATGACCCGGTAGAATTTATAGTTTTTTTTTCTAAGTAACATTCGCGTAATGTTCTATTATTAGCGAATGTATACTTACAAGTAACAAAAATTCAACTATATCTGTCTATGATAAAGCTTCACTGTACACTAGTTACTTTGGCTATTAATTAATTAGGGTAAGTTCTGCTTGGCAGAGCACGAACACGGTCAGAACTCAAAGCTGTCGTTACACCTCGCAGGCAGATGGCATTATGTTCCAAGTAGATGACTACAAAAAATATATTATGGGAAACTAGGGCGGATGGTTGCTCATTAACAAGCCTTCATGGCAACGCTTTTTGGATTTAGTGAATGTTAACATAAATCTTTCTAAAGTATAACGTTTACTGCGCTATTTCAATACGGCGCTTTCGGTTGTTTCAGATGTAAACTTCGATCGCGTTACCGATACGTCACGTACGATTGTAGAAACTCGCTGACTGGATTCTGTTTTCCCCATGGCAAAGTATATGTGTAATTTTCAACACGTTTAGAAGTTTCACCCACTATGCGTGCTACGGAGTGTACGTAGTAAATGGGCGCGTTCTTTTTGTTACTGTAACAACAATACTCAACAGACTTGTTCTTCGCTAGCAACTGGCTTGTTCATCGATGATTTGATCTTCAAAGGCGGAATACGTATATCCCACTCTAGTGTCGAAAAACTTTTAATGCAGCAAAAGGCTTACGTAAACTGAGTGAACGTAACAGAGTAGATATTGAACGCCACTGAAAAACAACTGTCTATATGTAGCCTAACGTAATTAGACCAGTGTCATAATAGGTGTTGTAATAATAGAAACGATATTCATGCAACCTTTGCTCTCCATTTGCTGCTTCGAAATACGTCTCTGAGACTCGATCGAAAAACGACCTTTACGTTTCGTTAGCATGTTACCTGGCAGCCAATACCCTTTTTCGAGCAACGTCTTTCCACCCCCATTCTTCATAGCACTATAACGAAATCTTCGTTACTGTACTTCGTAATGTTACACCGCGAAGCGTATTTTCCCGTAAGTCCGCATTTGTGAGGAACCATAATGACCTCGTGCTAAAAAGCAAGCTAAGGCGGTACCGATTCATGCCACGTTCGCAGTCATCTGCTGCACCCAGTTGCATCGTGATTTATCTACTAGCACTGTTCTTTGAGAGCATTCATTCGTACCAAGATATTCTCTAGTGGGTAACGTTTAGTCAAAAAGTTGTTAAAAATTTGCTTTAAGAATCTAGGTCTCAGCTTACGTAACGCCTCTGCCGCTGTGTGCTTTTGCCGACTATGAGAAATTTCGGAATAAAACAGTTGTTCCTTCCAACAAAACGTTGAAATATAGTGTGGATGCTCATTTGTCAAATAAGTAACCAACACACTAGTCACTACTGCTGACTACTTTTATATAACGTCAAAAGTGGAAGAGAACCATATTCCCATTTTTGATGATAGATTAAAGTTCGAATGGTAGTCCCTTAAAGTGTTTCATCCATAAGTCAAAAACATAAATCAACTATCTTGCGTTTAACCATTAATAGATGCGACAGGATGCTTGCAGACTAGGGGGGTGAAGGTGGTAAAAATTAGAACAGTGTGGTGTATCGTTAACTAATATATCCGAATCCATCCTGCGGCCTTTCTCTCGCTGGTTGGAACTAGGTAGGGTGTCTGGAGTAGAATAGGTTTGACCTAACAACTGTGAAGTTACCGTGACTCGCGACCTCGATCCCGTTCCCGTGTTTCCATATCGAACAACCACCGATCCTGCTACATAGAGATCAATCGGGCAAAAAGAATCAAAGGGATTTAGACATCAGATACACTGAAAGCAGCGGCTTTCGACTCTGACGACGACGACGTCGCTCGAAGGCTAGGACCGACAACGCATTAATGAGATAAAGTTGAAACCAGTGAGCAGAAACATGAAGGCGTATCACCATATAAATGTATTAGAAGGACCAGTGGCCTTTCAGCTGACCATGTTAGCGTTACCATTGCGATCGCTCTTTTTACCACAGGAAATATTCGTGTTTCAGCTGTCGCGGAATTCCTCCTACAGCTGTTAGGTCACTACGCAGCCGAGAATTTTGAAATGAGGAGTGGCCCAAATGAGAAATTGTTGTTTCTGTCTAGAAGCATTCTGCCAGCCTCAAAAAGAGAAGGCAACGGCAAGACAACGCTTATTAATGTGTATGTCCAAGGCTACCGGTAAGCCGAAAATCCTCGTGCTGACAGCCTTCAATCAATGCGACATCGATTCTTGACAAAACCTTTCGACTATTTACTCAAATCGTTACTGACCGTAGAATGTGTGACGTTTTAGTCGAACATTGGTTTCTCAGCTTTGTATAGCGCCTAGCATTCACTTTCAACTTTTCAGAAATTTGCAGTTTTCGTTTAATTATCACAGAAAAAAAAGACCGCTCCATATCCAAACTACACAATATTGTGAAGTTTATATTAGAGAAGGACCGTACATGGCGAGTGCGTGTTATCAAATATTGTCAACGCACGGGATGTTATTGAACCCAAACTTCGGGTAACCACAATATGCATGAGAGCTCGGCAACCGACTTTTCAGGAAGCGAGAAATGTCTCGCGCAACGGCGCCAGCATTTGTTCTTAAATCGACATTGGGGACCGTGTTTTCTTGCAAAGCCCTGTGTTGCATAGTTGCCTGCTGACCCATAGAGCCAGCCTACGGACAAATTCAATACATGATATGTCTAGGGCGATTTTATAGCCTGCCTAAATAGCGATGGAACTATAGTTCAAAAGCAAGTTTCCTTCAGTTCCACCCCCGAACGATCGAAATAGCGGAGAAAAAATTCCATTCGAAGCTCGCTTTTATTTAGACAAGTGGAAAACCGGTGACTCGGAAAAATATAACCCGCCTGCTGTGAAAACACATCGGTTTCAATTGTACAAATTCTGCACGGTTAACACAGCAATCTTTCGGCAAGCGAAGATACGTTCCTGTTAGCCGTTGGGCATGATGCGAACTCGAGGAAATTCAAAATCACGCTCCAGTCACTATTCGTTGTCGTGTCCAAATTGGAAACACCGATAGTTTCTTTATGACAAATTAGAGGAGAACAGCAGTCCTATTTCGAAACACAATGATGGCACTGCCGATTTGAATCAGAGGTTCGCGTCGCTATCCTGCGCGCAGTCCATGTATCGAACAGAACCACCTTCGTCAGCCTTGAATGCTAGTTTGGTGTCGTGTTTACGGCATATCGGCGTTATAGCACAGCGCAGTAAAGGGTCAACAATTATTAATTGGTATTATTGTTCTTGCTCACAGATGTTCATTTTCCATGTTTATTACGAGAATATAACTACGTTTTTCCTATGAAGTTGATTCATGCTTTTCTAAAGTCTGAGGAAAATCCCCACAGGCCAGAAATCTGTAACCTTAATGTGTGCAATTAATGAGCCTCTGTCCAGATTTAATTATAATTATCTGCGTATGCATCAGATCTCGGCCATTTTGAACTGCACAAAAATAGCGTGAAAAACTCATCCGTCCACGTCCGAATCTACTCGTTTCGTTGTCGGTAAATACAAAACCTGTTATCCAAATGCCTGTTCTCAGATCTATATTTAAGTGATCTAATTCCTGTCCCAGTTTTTATTGAACGGTACGACATTCGCGGCGTACATTCATTATTGTTGTGTTTGTTACGAGTAATAGTGTTGAAGTTGACTAAGTGGCTCTTTCGCGTACTTAAGGGAAGCTTGCGACTCTCCTGGGAGTCTGTCTCGGGTTTGACTAGGACTCGCAATGTCAGCTCCGGTATTTTATAGAACTACTAAAGAAAATATGGTCTCGTACACGAGCAAGATTCAGGGAGTCGAACATCTTGCGTAAGTTGATCAGAATATAATGACTTTTTTTTTTTACATCGAAATGTGCCCACATCCAAATCCAGCTGGCATTTAACGTTTTCCTGTATTATGGCACAGCCGAGATGAAATGAAGTCGCGTTTCAACTTTCTTTTCGAAACAAAATCAAACCTTAACAAAGGGTTTCTAGACATCTACTCGCGGACAGTCGCCATGTGATGGTACGTTTGGACATGTATAGCCACAGTTAGAGACGTACACGCAGACGAAATCCTCACCTGTGAATTTTAACCTAACTGGTTTCGGCTTACAATGTTATCGAATTTGGGTGTAAAAATCGAATCTGCTTTTAGAATAGGCACAGGGACAAGGCAACATACACACTGCTTTATCAGTCTGCATTGCGCTCGTGTCACCTGGCTTTCGTAGGTCAAGCCCAATAAGTAGGCGTGGACTGGGCTTGCAGAGCCTACCTGGTGTCCATCGAAAAGCGATACAAGCATAATCAACTAATGTATTTTTCGGCTTAATAAACGACAGGTCTGCCATTCAGACGACAGTTTGTAAGAGTTTGTCTGTTATATCAATATCCACTACTCATGTCAACGCCTCACTTTGCGTCGTTTCACATAGACGCCTAGAAATCAGCAAGGGCGTTGTGCCTACAGGGGATTGCGGTAGTACATGTGCACCACTCATGCGTCTTGGTGTTTCGTAAGCTAACTGCTAATCATTCCCGCATCACAGAGACTTTTCCTTTTTGTGGCAGGCTCGATATTAAGCTTACTCCTATCGCGATTCTAACCATTTGTTGTACATCGTACTATCAACTTTGGATCATTTTCAACGTGTGATCGCAAATTATTTTACTACGGAATTTAATTTACGGAATGACTAAACGCTCCGTAGTGGCCCCTAGGGACTGAACTCCAGAGAACGACTTCGACAATTATTACATATCCCAGGTTGGAAAAATCAGGTCTCAGCAAATAAGTTGTTGATTCCGTGTAGCCAAGTGCTTTGTGCTTAATGAACTGTAATAATTCAGTAATATAGTATATCAATAAACAAATTTGTAGAATCTGTAGACGATAGCTGCTCCACATCAACATTCTGCGGACAAGTACATAGTCACTTGTCAAGATGTTAACGTAAGACTGAAAACGCTAAGCATAGACTACTGGAAAGTATTCAGTGGAACATAATAACAGGCTTACTCTGTCTCTGTTATTTATAGCAGTGATTATACAGTTACTTTATATAAGTACAGCATATGCTTTGTTGATATTTACTTCTTTATATGGAACAGTGTTCGGAATACATTTCACTTGCAGGCATTTCGCTTAAGGAAAAACTGCTTGCGTTGCATTAGAACTACGATTTTCCACTGTATTAGATGGTACCACTTTGTGAGACCCTAAACGGCATGAATGAACGCGGAAGTGGTTCTGCCGTTAAACCCAGAGAAGTATGTATTTGACGGAGAGGCGCCACTCTCGAAGGAATCGCCGACCGCAGCGAAGTATCTTGCCTTTGATCTCGAGCAACAATACCATTAGCCGCATGCTTGGGTTATGACGCCATGTTTTTTAGCCTACTTGTGAAGCGGTCCTGCATCTGTCACTTTATCTTAGTGCAAGCTTCCCCTATATGGTATTTGCTCGCGAGACGCTCCATTGATTCTTTTGCCATAAGTTGGCGTTAACAAACGATTAGTTTTTACGCATCCACAAAAAAGTTTTGAAGCTAAGAATGTCCTATGATATTGCACTGTTATTACTTAATTGGTTTAACAAACACACATCGAGTTTTTGTTAAGGGCGTTTGCCAGGAAAACCAAAAAGTCACTAATCAGGAACGCCTTTGAATGCACGCAGGGGTTAAAAGAACCTTTGCGATCAGTGCTGCCTTCAACGAGGTAAGCGCATCATCTTGAAACGTGCCCTTTATCAAGTCTATCTAAATTCTGTGCTATCATTATGAAGTCTTAATAGCAGTATAATCAATTTGTCATTGCCATGATTTGGAATTTAATCGCATACACGTTAGCTATCGACATGCTGAGTGCGAAACTAGAAGTTATATGATAACCGGCTCGATTTACTATTCAGTCTTAATAGGGCTTCCTACTGAACATGATAACAACACGCATTGTGGGTTTTAACCATAGCTAAGTTTCCTTTCTGCTTGACAGTTATTCTGGGCCGGTTACAATACAATCGAAAAGCAGCCGAAAATGAGATGTTATTACAACAACTAAGTTCTGGAAAACAAAGCCGGATCTCATTAGATAGATTCGTTCGATCTTAGATAAGTCCGAAAGACCAAGTACTATTTGGGGGCTCACTGAGCTACACTTTCCGATGGTTGTTGATAATAACCGGGCAAATAATGGATGGCGAAACAAATCTTATTTTGTCTTTCTGCCAGGGATTGTTACGTTACACTTAACTGAACTAACTGCTGACGCCAATGAAAAAAAAAGACTCATCTAATCTATCTTATATATTGTCCTTGGTAAATCAAACAAACCTTGGCGGTATGCCTTTATGTGGAAACAGTTTGGTATATATATATATATATATATATATATATAGGGGGGGGGGAGAGTCTCAGAAGAATGCTTAAGCTCAATTAACAATTTTCTGTATATTGAGCTTAAGCACATAACATATAAACGATCCAGAAACATCCCATTAGACGTCAGCCTGAAAGAAGAATTACGAAACGGAATTTCAACAAAATACGCTGTGGAATATAACGAGCAGAGCTTGAATTTTTATCATGGATATTTAAATACGTATAATTGCACTTATAGCAGCGGCGCATCTTCCGGTAGAAGAAATTGCGAAAAAAAAGTTGTTGTAACGGATCAGTTTTAAGTTGAAAATTAAGACTAATTCCGGTAGACTCACGCATCTGCACATTAAAGATCAGCACATTTATCGTACCTTCATGTTAATAAGATAAACATAAGTAACTGAATACTGTATAATTCAAGTTGTCTCTTGAATACACTTTTGTATTATACTATTCTGATGCGGCTAAAATAGGGGTACTAGTTCGTGACTGGGGCGGACAGCAAGACGCTGCCGAAATACGCAGTAGAAAAGTTTAGATTTTATCTTTTGCATAGAATGTGATTAACTCTGAGTTATACCTGAGGGTACATATAACAAAATGATGCCCCTAGGGCATCTTCTCCACAGATTCCGTTTAAGAGACAGAGCTTAACGCTTTTACCAAATTACGATTGTGTGCGCACATCTAACTATAATCAGTAAGGTAGCATAAACGTACCCATTTGCTTGTGTTATCACTAAAATTTCGTACACGGATGTTCCCGTACACATCCAGACCGCTACTTAGCACCTGGAGCATCTACAAGCCTATTTCAGGCTGGCATGATGGCGCATGAAGTGCGCACCATGAAGTAGTAAGTGCCACCTATGACCCCGGAGGCGTCCCTGGGAGCGCTTTCTTGAAGAACAGTGGAGCGGTGAAGCACTCCCTCCTCCCTCCTTTTAAGCAATGTATTGTGACTCAGCATGATGGCTTTGCTTTTTCCGCTTCTTGTTCACAACGTCCGTATATGAAATCCTTACATATGATTAGATGAGAATCTTGCAGACGCTCCCAAAGGATCGACGGCTGTTCGGACCAAGCAAGGAATGATCACCGCCCACAACAGCCGCCCACATTTATCCTAAATATAGATTCAAATTTACGTTAATTAACTATGAATTTTCATTCGTGAGTAACATGATTGTGATATCGTACCTTCAATAGCGTTAACTATTCGTTCATTTCGAAGACAGCCAGTCGGTTTTTTCGATAGTAAACACACAGACACGCCAGGTCACTGTGATATTCTTTATGCCATCACACATCTAGGCCGCTGCGTTTGCGATTTGCATAGGAGATGTTATATATAACTACCTTTGTAGACGGACTTAAGACATCGAACTACCGATGCTGATATTACGTTGGGACGCATAAACTTCAACGTAGTGTTACAAATGCTGAAGCAGAAACAAGGAAATTTAAAGTATTTTTCAAACATCTAAGATAGAATCGTAATCTCCTGTTCCGGAGGCTAAGCGGCTGTAGCCACTTGACGATTATGCCCTACGTGATAGCGGATCAGTTAAGCAATTTCCACTAGGTCCATTGAAGTGACGGGTTAGGCTGTTTTTCAAAAGCATCCTATTCGATACGTTAATATGGGATATAAACGGACGAATCGGAAGTGCCATCACCCGCAGCTGAGATTGCGTGTCCTATACGAGTGACGTGGGCCCGATTCGATGATGCGACTGGGCTTATTTTGTTCGAATACTTTTTTCCTATTCGAGATATTTTATAATAAGCAGTTTTGTTAAGTTGCTTGAATTACAATACTAAACTGAAACATTTATACAATAGGAAAAAAGATCCTATCCTGAAAAACAAACTCTTCAAGTGCGTAGAGTATTTTCACTAATTGTGTCAGTCTCAAGCCGATTTTCACTCATAATCAATCGGTAACATTCGGTAACGGAGACCACAGTTTAATAATGCTAACTAACTCGCTTTTGAATTTCTGCGTGTGTCCTAGGTATGTCTTGAGATACCAGCGCAGCATGTGAACCCTGCATCAAGTTGGGCGACGGGAGCGATGGCATTCGCGAGTGCCGGTGTCGTCCTTACCTTCTGTGTGATTTACGTGTTCATACGGTACCGTGATACGCCTGTGGTTCGTGCCTCTGGCCGCGAACTCAGTGCAGTGTTATTGACCGGAATCCTTCTTTGCTACAGCGTCACATTCATACTCGTGCAGAAACCAACTGATTTAATATGCGGCCTACAGCGCATTGGAGTCAGTCTCAGCTTTACGATTGTGTACGCCGCCATTCTAACAAAGAGTAACAGGTCGGTGCATTTAGACCCACACTCAAACATGCACATACTTTCGTACTCCTTGCTTCTAATACCAGATCGAAGTCGACACCTCGATGGTCATTGTTGATATTTATTACATGGTATTATTAAAATCGTCAGTGACTAACGATTGATTAACTTTTATCTATTTATGAAGTCATAGTGTAAGATTAGACAGGGTGCCTGTAGCCTCGCAGAATGCTCAGCCACATTGTTATCTAGTGTGCATAAAACAGATCACGCATATACAGGGAAGCGAAGCTAAATATAGTTTTTTTTTTTTTTTTTTTTTCGTATGTTTTATTTCTAGGACCATTTCTAAACACAAATAGATATTTGTGCTATTTCTGATAGTAACATTTATTTATTATAATTATTATTTACCGCTTCAATTGGGCACCAAGTGTCTCTTTTCATATTCTCAAACAACACTAACAGGTGTAAACTCGATAAATTATCGTTCGTTAAGTACGTTACATGCGAGAAATTCCGACAAAAATACGTTCTAAAACTGGTGGCTAGCTTATCAGGACATTCTAATTACTAATTGATATTCTCCTCTATAAAACGATTGATAATTTTTGTAACAAAAAGATGTGTTCAAGAGCTTTTTAAATCTACGCTCTATTAAGGACCCTCTGATTCACTTTAAAAAAGTCTTCGTCGAGTTGCCCAACGGCCGCATAAATAATGGTAAGGTACACTTTCGATTTTAGTAGTAGAGGATTGGACAATAGCTAATCTGCGCTCGAATGCGGGGCACAACGTACTATTGTTGGACGTGACGATCTGTTGTTTTGTTGGAGAAGGACCTAGACTTGTTCTGGTACTATAGGATACCGAATGACCGCGTGCCCATTACGACAAACAGCCTTTCGATTCTTGTTCCAATTTAGGTACCGAACTCTGTACGTCCAAGATGTACAGAGATCTTAAGAAAATTCATATATTTCTGTTGCTAATGATATAAACGGCTCTATAGGTGTTATGGCATAAATATTCTTCTTTTTTGTTCCAGGATTGCACGCATTTTCCGTGCTGGTAAGCGTACCAGCAGACGGCCGTCGTTCATTTCGCCAAAATCTCAACTTATCATCTGCGCAATCCTTGTTTCATTGCAGGTTAGCTCAAAGGTATAGATATACATGTACATACATTCTCAGCATCGCTTATGAAAAAGGCATAGCAAGCTTACGCTAGGAAGAACCACTTCAAAGAGGTCTCCAGAGACGGGTCGGGTAAGAGCTGTGCGCAGAGAAGCTGCTCGTCTATAATGTGATTGTAAATGCATCATATATTGCTGTCTGCTCATTGCAGGTGGTCGTTATCGTGGTATGGCTCCTGTTCATTCCTCCAAGGGCTGTCAAGCATTATCCAACGCGTGAACAAAGTCAACTACTCTGTGAATCCACTCTGGGTCAGTCATTGGCTTTCTCGTTCTCTCTCGAATAAAAGAAATTCTATGTTTGGTGTGATAAACCATGTAACTTTAAAAACCCTAATTTAAGTATGACCTATAGGGTCTATGAGGTGTGGTGCAATTCACGATGTTGAACTAGGCCAAACAGTTGTGCCAAAGATAAGGCCAAAGCCAGTGTGCGTGCAGCATAAAAATGGTACACCAAATCATATTATCTATGTATCATTATATGTAAGCTATAGAAGATTTTTTACGGATGCTATCGCAACAAAGGACTTCACTTATTCATTTATAGTCCGCTGAAACACGTTGACCTTTACAAAGTGTTTTATTTTCTATCTTTTTTTTAAATTTAGTTGCTCTAGTCATACTTTTCACGTCATTGGAATCATTTTTTTAGGTATAGCATCAAGGATCTTTAGAAAGTGCACGAAGGTACCTGCTAGTGCTTGTCGATTTTCTGCGATAATACTACGTAAAGGTCACTACATGCCGATCTTAGTTAGCTACGAGATGGGATGTGTAAAGGACGCTTTGACGCGTTTTTTTTACTGGCGAATTTTTCTCACTAGTCATGAGCTATTTTTCGTGCATGTGCCATACTACCGAATGCCGAGATAAGATCACTGTTAGCAATGCAAATAGTCCTTAGCGGGATACTGTGGTCTAGATAAACGTATCTAACAAAGTAAACCAGCACATTGTAGCGTATGAAAAACTTGGCTGTATGCTTTACAGAAGAGAGCTGATATGCTAAAAATTTTACCTTTTGATGCGACTAACCAAAAAGTAAAAAAAAGGGTTTTTTTTTAGGATGTATGGGTCCATCCAATTACTAGACTAATCTCTATCTCCCATTAATCTATATATATATATATATCCTCATTTTTTTAATGGTGAATCATGCTATTAAAAATTGGCTATCTTAGTTAGCCGCTATTTTCGTTGATTAGCTCATTTATTTCAAGCTAGAATACTTTTTTGCATCGTCGTTTTCCTTTGTGCCCTCCCCTTTACTGATGATAGCAGCTTAATTATTTACAAAACGTTTTTTTTTAGATTACTTATTGGACATTTTCGATTTATAAGCTTTGATAAGTCTATATATGCATTTAATAAGCGTTTAAAGCGAAGAATTTTTTGAAAGGCAGAATTAAACAAATACAGACCGATAAAGTCGATTCGACGCACAAGCAAGTTAATTAGAAGGCACATAGGTTGCAAATTATGAGTTAATTAGAAATATCCTATCTGAAGCACATCCATTGTCGCATAGTACCCTATTCTATGTATACAATTTAATTTTTAGAACAACTGTGCATTCGAAAAAATTCAACATATTCTTATGCTACAGTGGCGTCATTTAGATAAACTATTGATTGAAGCCCAGACCTGGGTTATTTGCCAATACTCTCAATCGCTATCGCTGAGCAGCACAGTTTCTTGCTCACTCAAACACCAGGAAAGATCGGCAGTAAATTCACGATTTTTTATTATTTTTTTTTTAACGATTTTTATACTGCCAAAACCTAGCGTACCTTTTGATCAGCCTTCAACGTCGCCTTTCCCGTACGCTTCCCTGGAAGGAGAGAAGTCATTCCTCCAGTAGAACTTGCTCGTTCTGGCAATCTCATTCGTTTCATAAAATATATATGCAAGAGAGAGGCTATATTCGTTCCACTATATGATCTTATTAATAATGTAAGACTACCCTGATAAACCACGAAGCTGTAGCTCCGCCATGTCGTCTGAATGGATATACTTGAAACAATTACGAAAGTTCCTTCTTATCAACAAGTTCGATTCTATCCAAGTTAGGCTACCCCATACCACTACACGTGAATTAGGAAGAAACAAGTTACCTAATATCTACTTCGTAGTGTCACTCTAATACGTTGTAAAAATACTTAAGCTAATATCGCAATTATAACAGATGTGACGCAGAAAATGACCACGGACCATGTACGTTATTATACACAGATATAAGCATATTTAGTAATAACATTTGCCATTGGGGACGTCCAGTCTTACGTCGTAGCCAACTTGTTCTAGCAATTACTTGGGAATTCATCGATGCTGAAAATTAACTGAAATATATATATTTTTTTTTATGGTACAGACTGCTGCTGCAACTGGAGCGCCCGCACCCTGTTAACTGGCCAATAGTTTCTTTCGTCTTAATTCAACTGCCGAAAACACAGGACATCGTTTTCTGTTGTTATGCCATAACAGTATTTTGCTTAAGACCAATTTTCTGTTTGCAAGTTTCTACTTGATTCTAAAACGAAAATTTCTTTCTGCATTGTGAAGCATATGACCTTCAGCTATATGGAACCCCGAATATAGAAACAGCAAAAATGTATTGCGCATTCCTTTAATGAAGTATCTAAGCCGTGCGCTAACTAGGCCATACTCGTATATGTCCCCAAATCAGCTGCAGCGTGTTGTAAAGATCGATATGGATTTATTTCATTAGGCCCATTTTATGCTCTTTCTGAGACCTTGAGGCTACAATCAACCTAGAACTGGACGCCACATAAAACAGATATATGCTATTCGACAAGTGTGATTATATTAAGAAACAATAACGCAAGACAGATGGTGCAATCATCAACGCTCGCTTATATTATTACTTTTAGGCTTTTCAACATCTCATAAAAGACTAGTATTACTTAACTTTAGCTACTATTATGAGGTTTAGAATTTGAAAAAAGCATATTCTTTTATTTATTTTTTATTGAGCTTGGGCAACCCAGCCTCGCCAAAGAAGTGTCTTTAAGATAAACCTTTGAAAGAGAGGCAAAAAACTTCCAATAAGGTAAAAATGACATACACTTTCTTTACTATGCAAAAATAATTATCCTTCTTCCACCTAGAGTATTTTGTTTATGTGTAAATGTTGCGCGTACAGACGAGCTCGATACAGTGTCTTCGTAGCACATTGCTTGGTGCTAATACAATAATATAGCTTTAACAATATCGCTGCAAAAAAACTAATATCTTTTATGCTATCTGCTAAATTAATGTGGTAATAAATGGTCGTCTATTGTTTAATCATTGATGATTTGTGTTTTCTACGTATTCCGTAAGAGTAAGCGTTCTCAGATGGTTTCGATAGCGGACCAAGTTCTCCTGTTACCATGTAGCGACCCCAAAGAAATCCTCAGAATAGGTCGTACCGACGCGCGTTGATCCTATGATTGTCCACCTTCGTGCTCACTGCGCGGGACTGCCCACCGATCAGTTCGCTACGCCTGATCAACTGGGGCGCCCGGATCTAATGACATAAACCAGGAAGGTGCGGACCAGACAGTGTTAAACGCTCCTGCTGGTCGCCGTACAACAATTACTAGAGGCGGTGTGTGTAAAGACATCTATGAATGACGATCGGACAATGCGGAACACTTCCAGGATGCTACAGGAAATGACAAAGATGACTATGTTTCTCTATGAAAGTCAAATTCTTGCACAACGCCCGTGATTCCTTGTCCCTGAAGGGAACATGAGCAGAAATCTTTTCATTGGTTATTAATAGACTAAAGTAACCGAACGGGAAAACTCACAGTATTATCGTTGAATACTACAGCTAAGAAGTCAGATACCTTGCCCTCCTGCCCCGCTCCCCCAACGAGATATGTGCTATCAGTAAGTCGACTACCAACAACAAGTGAAGCAAGGTGGCAACTAATTGGCCAAAAGTGCTTTTATATTATGTCTTCTACTAACATGAAGGGGTCTCCGCTGTTGTTGGCGTTGCAACGTCTGTTACTGTTAACAAAAAAAATGGTGCAGCAAATAATTCTCGTATGAGATGGTGAGGTTTACGCCTATGGATTGCGTCTGTGCAAATGTTATTCGAAAATCTATGGCATCTCAGAGTTATGCTAAAGAGTTTGAACCTTTGATAGCGCCAAATTAGCCTTAATGGTCATCTAATTGCCATGAGTATGTAAACGTATTATCAGTTAGGCGATAGTTCTCCATAAATGGACAGTGGCACAGATTTGTATGGCTAAGGTGGAAACTGCTATAGTCTTAAGGTCACTACTATGTAAGCACAAGCCTCTACCTGTTGGGATATTGTCTACAGATAATTTGCTGATAGACCTTTTCGCAAAAACTCCTTCAGCCTATACAGACTCAAGGTAGACAGATGAAAACTGTTCGACTGCTATCGCGGTTGTTTTGCTTTCGTTTATTTGGCCAGGATTTTTGGTGGTACACCGTGGCTGACTACATGAATCGCTACGCTGTTATAGATCAAAATGGTGCCAAATCCCAATTGATTTGAAATTCAAGGAGTACGATCATGTTGAATAACGACTGAGCATTTTTGACCTCGGAGTCGTCGAAAGGTTCTGTATCGTATTATGGAAGATAATAATATTGTATAGGTTCTTACCTAATAAATGTTTTGGGTTTTATGTTTGGAGATACGTGTAGGACTGCATTTAAGGCGCAGCTCGTGTAGCATAAAACAAGACTGTTAAAAACTAGCATACCAGCGACGCTACAATGGCACTCGTTACGAGAGCATGAACGTTTACCTACCTGCACATTTCGATAATGTAAACGTTCATTTAAATTGTCACAGGTTATTTTTAATCATTATTATGTGTTTTTTTTTTTTATTGAGTGAATGGAATCTATCTTTAGTCACCTCGACCTGTTAAGCACAATAACTGCTACATGTGTTAGCGATCCGATACCAAGGTTTTCTGCATAACTCAATGCAGAAAAGCGATACGATCGAGCGTAATACGGAGAGCATTATAATGAGTCTCGTTTCTTTGTAGTGTCGTTGCACAGAAGAATTCAACATCTGGTCTTTCAGCGTATAGACAGCCTATGCACTACATTCAACAAACGAAGATCCTGATACGTCATATGAACGAAATGTTGTGTGTTGGGCAAGGGAAAACATGTGGACGAATTTACTGTGCGCCCTTGCACATAACGGGATCGTTTGATGTACATTAACCTGCGTCATCTATCCC